ATAGAATTAAAGGTTCAACATAGGGCCAAAATTTCGGCTCGGGACATTTTTCTTTAAACATCACAAAATGTCTCTTTCAGTCAGAATTCGTACAGATCGAACATTGCCCTGTACATTCACATTGTATAGAATTTAAATTTATTTATGTACAAAATAAAAATTTATTTTGAGATCGTTCGAGATCACGTTCTGACGTTTGAATGTTGCAAATCGATTGCTCAGGCATCGCTGTCTGCGATATTCGTCTCGCACGATCCATCGTGCGTTCCTGATTCCGGAAAATAAGACCGCGCGCGTATGAATCGTCCGCGTCATAGACGAGAGGAACGAAAAGGAATAGCGCGACACACACTCGAGTTACATAAACAAAGACACGTATTCTTCTCGAGATGCATGCGAGATCGACAAGGTCCACTCGCGGTCCGATTACGCGCGCGATCGCCGCTTTATGCAATCGCGGCGACACCGGGCGACGCAAGGTGGAGAACAAGTTCAACGGGACGCGTCGCGCGAAGCCCGCGATCGATTCGACGCGTCCGTCTCTGCTCTTCTCGGTTGTCCGCCTGCAAACCGATTCGTAGAATCTAGCATGAAGAAGACCCTCGAGTACACGTACAATGCGTACGTGTGTCCGCAAGAAACGTGTCGCTGCGTCAAGTGACGTCGACGGGAACCGTTACACTTGCAGCGACTGTGATTCCTCTGGATTGCTCGACGGACTGTGTAGCGACCGCAAAAACCCTTTGCCGTTCCTTCGACCTTCGGTGAAATCTTGGCCTTTCGCCGTTTTGCAAAATTGCGCAATATTATAATACAATCGCTCAGCTTTCTTAGGACTTCCCTCGCGCGCGATATGTCGCAATTCGCGAACTTGAAAGAGAAAGGATCGCAAGCTGCAACCTTCTGCAAAATTTGTTCCAGTTTTTTCTCTCTCTCTCTCTCTCTCTAGTATAAACGGCGAGAGCTATTCGCTTTGATTCGCAAAAGAAAACAGTGTGAGATGACCAGAAACCAATCTGACTTATCACTTCATATATGTAAGATCCTATAACAATGCAACAGAAATATTTTCGCCTTCCACGGTAAAACGCTATATTTTTCAAAGTTCTATTCAGTTCTAATGTAATCCTCCTTTTGATTGTAATCTTATAATAGACACACCAAAAAAGCATTTTGAGGAAATGATGATGCACAATTGCGTATTCCAGAACGCAATACTATCGTGGGATTGATCGGCAATTACGTTTCAACCGTGCGAAATATTCGTGCGAGATAAGGAGACAGTCAATTTGGATCTTCGGTCAATTCCGGCAGTACATGACGATCTCCTCGAGCAGTTCTCATCTTCGTCTTCGTTGCAAAACTTTCCGCGCGATCGATCCCGAGCGATAAGCTCTTTTTACTATTATCGTCGCGGGAAAAAAATAACCACTCAATATTTACTCTCGTGTAAATATTTAAATCTGTGTGTTTACGCTCATATCTGAGAGTAAATTCGGACAATCGAGTGTTAACACTCAAAACTTGAATGTTTTTTTCCGTAAGGGACGTGCAACGTGCAATCGTGGAACTCGAATCTGATCATCGCAATATATTGACTTATTATTTTTCGCTCGCACCGAGTGCCTATCTCGTTGGACGATACGCGAGAATATTAATGCGCGATCACAGATAATAAGTACCATACAGCACAGATGGTTGCAGTTACATTGCAGAAACGTTGCAATCTTGCAGATTGCAGTCCAATCTTGCAGAGACATTGCAGGCATATAAAATTGCAAACTTTCGATAGCAATATTGCAGCAATGTTTCAAAAATAATGAAAATACTATATTTTCTATTTAAACAATTTCTAATTACGAGAATTTTATAATGCTGTTTCCATCGATACCAATAATGCGCGAATTATTAAGTACTTGATCAGTGCGGTGTTGCTCGCAATCTCCATCTATTGCGAAGCGACATAATCTCCTTAGGTTGCCTCGCAATAGCTTGCTATGCATTGAAAAAGGCCCGGATGTATATGTAATTAGTAAATTCTCTGCTTATGTACAACAACGACAAATTATTCCAAAAATATTGCGCCGCAACATTGCTATAATGCTGCACTGCAATCTCTCCGAGGGCGGACATTTCAACGTTGCAGCAATATTGCAATCTTGCAATGTAACATTTCTGCAATCTTCCTGCAATCTTTCTGTGCTGTGTGGGTAAGCCCGTTGTTATGTAACATTAACAAATTGGAGTAAGAAGGAGTAAGTTTGCAATCCCC